TGATAATGGAGTGTTTAAGAAACATTTGTGATAAAATAATACCAACAAGAGAACATATGTGGCTCATGGTTGAATTGTTCAGTTACTGGTGCTTTTTGAGCTAGGTTGTTGTTGTTTTGCACACATTTCATTACTTATCTAGATTAACATTTTCTGCCCATGTATTTGTGGGGAAAAAAATACTTACCTGAGATTTTATTTATATCTTTCAAAGTCAGTATTTCACACGAATAATGATCAAATTTAAACTTCCTTAATGCTACAAACAGATATTGTTATATTTAGTGGTGGAACAAACATTTGAATTCTCAAACTAAATATTTGCAGAAGTATAAAAGCAGTCAAAGAGTAGCTTATCGTCTTAGCACTTGTTGAATGGATTCATTGGAATTCCAAAAAGAAGTAGAAGTCAAAATACAAGCCAACGATAAAGTTATAAACTTCATATGAAAACTGAAATTTAGTTAGAAAAAACTTTGTCAGGGAAGGGCTGTAAGGTGCAGGAGGGTATGATGAAAAGGCTGAAAAAAATTAAACTTAACTTTCTACTGACATATCATGGTTTGATTTATTTACTTTATATCTTTGCTTCCGATAAAGCATATCTGAAGACATCATAAATGCTTAGTTTTACCCAGTTAGGAGTCACTTATTTGTGTTTTATTCATGTATAATTTACTTTTTTGGTCAATCACTAGAAGAAACAGTGTCAGTAATGTGCTTGAAGAGTGTAGAAGCCAAAATTATTTTAATAGAAGCAGAGATTGACTTTGGTTTAATTTCCCCTAAATATGATTTGTACTATTGAAGCTGTAGCCATTGTACCTAGGTCTAGCAGTAAGAATCATTTACAAATAGCCATCTATAGCCTGGGAATTGCCAATGAAGCATCTTCATGGATATGAAAATTGAGATCCAATAAGAACATTCACAAGTTTTAACCTTATGGTAAAGTAGTTTAAATAATACCAGCTAATGCAATGAAGCCAAACCTAAATCAGAAACTTAGTTAAGCAGATGCTGCAAATTTAATGCAAAACCATAAAAACTTATGCAAGTTTTAAACAACCACCTCCGCGTTCCAATATGTAAAAATACTTTCATTATGTTTATTATAAAAATATAAAGGTTTCCACTACAAATCATTTTACATTAGTAACAGGCCATCTATATTTGCACAACATAATAAACTAACTGAGTAAGTAATGCTTTGAAATAAATGTTAAAGGTAAATTTAGATTTGTGAGTTCCAATTACATCTTTACATCTCGAGTTATTGGATTCTAAAGTACAGCAAACACTATGTTATATGTTAACAGAAATAAATAATACACATAAAACAATATTTTAAGATACAAAATCATTTGTTACATATTATTTGTAATGACTGTGGTTTTTTTTAATTTTTGATGTAAATAATCAAAGGCAGGTCCTGTACAGGAAGATGGCCACAAATTTTTTTATTTCCTCTACTCCACAGTTAAAAATTTTACACTGCTAAGTTTACATATGTACATGGGATAGGGGAAATGGGGCCCTTCAGGAGTACAAAAATTGTAAGAAAGAGAAGACAAAGAGCTTTTTAAAAACCCTCTTAGGAGGAAAAGAAGCAATTCTCCTGAACAAACTATAATACCCATTCCAAGTAATGAGTATACTCAAAATAATGTTCCCTGGCATTACTAGATACTATGATAAAATAATAGTAGCTAAAATTTAAATCTATTTTCAAATTTTGATGTTGAGCTCTTTTTTTTCTTTTATAGGAACTGAAAATTGATTCTAATTTTTCCACATGCTTCCACATTGCTGAGAACAATTCTGTTATCTTTATTTTACCTTATTTCTTACTGGCATGAATGTTTGCAATAGGGCATTAATATAAATTGATGTCATTATTAGTATGAAAGCATTAACTTAATCCAATTCAATTTCTTTCAGAACTGTTACATCCCATCAGAGCATTTGAAGATGTTCAATGCCCCCAGAATATTATGAACAATGAATTCATACTGTAGGGATAGTAAAATTATAGAACGAAAAAAGAAGTTCCATGTCTAACTAATATTTTTGCAATGTTACTTTATCCATTTCCAAATATCATTACATACTATCTTAGATGTCACAGTTTCTGCAAGTTTTGGATTACATTAAAATAATCACTGCTAATTACTATGATATAAAACAGAATCTTCAAAGAAGGCCAAACAGACAAAAAGGACATGAATAAGATGACTGTTCATTTAAATAGAATTTCATATCCATATCCACATGCTGCCTTGTAACATCATTATTTGACCTATATTGTGACCTGTAATTCAAAGTGAGAAAATAATATTTTCCAACAGATAGCTTCTAGTGTTACTGATCAAAATACATGGTAGGTAATTGTGNCAATGGAGTGTTATCAAACTCTCACATGGACTAGATAACAGGATCTGTTGAACTGTATCTAATCAATTCTTCTTCTATCAGACTCTGGTAATGATGATAGACTTATTCATGCTCTCATCAATTCTAGAGTACTTGCTTCTTGCTGCAAATTTGTAGATGTTTGAAGGAAGCTAAAAACAAATAAATTACCAGGATGATACTCCACAACTAAAAGTGCAGGATCATTTTAGACCAGAAGCCTTGAGGTGGTTGATTTTGTAGATGAACATGTGCTTCTGACTAGAATATGGAATTCTACACATCTTGAGTTTTTATGCTTAGGGAAAATGATGATGGAAGTGTGAAGTCAATGAGAAAAGCATGGGACTAAAAGAAATAAATATGGACCATGAGCAGTGGCACTAACTATGGGGAAAGAAAGGAAAAGATGCACTGAAGCAGAAGATTATGTACATATAAACAAAAAGAAGAAAGATAACAGGAGTCTAAAAATCAGCTGGTTGGACAAAATTTATTTCAATCAAGAAAAATAAGGAAAAATTATGTGACTGCAGAGAGTGAAAAACAGATGGCAAATCTGATTCTTAGCTATATGTCTTATAGTAATAATGGTTTTCCTACCTGTAAGCCTTCCAAATATGCAAACGTTATTCCTGTGACAGTTGTGCTATATGTGTAACTTTGTTTTAAACCAGAATGGATAGGCATGGAAGACACAAGCCAGGGAACTGTTATTGAGGCAATTTCCTATCCACCGATTCAAACTATGTCAATAATAGCTAATTCCATTGTGGCGATAGGAAAATGTCTATATTCATTGGCACTGCCATTTGATCCCATTCTTGGGTCCGTGGTCCCTCAGTTGTCTGCAATTCTTTACCTAACGATAGGTACCAATCCTAACTGATGCTTGTTTGCATTTCCTATATTTTCAATGCAATTGAAATTTACGTTTCAAGATTAATGTCAATGTTTTCCAACAAGATCATTATTCCTCACTCTGCCAATTCTATAATCGGACCAGCATATTTGTGATAATAACGCCAATAGAATAATGAATTATTTGTGTTCATATGAACAGTTCGTAATATTGTGATTACAGATCACTCTTAATAAACCTTTTTCTGTAAATCCTATTATGGTAATCAATGGCAACAACCTACATAAATAATTTTCTCTGTTTACGTCAAATTCTTTCCCTAGGTCAGAAAACTTCAATTACTGCATGCCAGAAGGAAGTTCACTGAGACATTTTCAAATTCTAGGCTGCACTAATCTATAATATTCATTTTCTCCTTCATAATAATTTCAAATTAAATTTTCTTACTATAAAAACAAACATAATTTATATGAGAAATATCAAAAATAAGTATTCTACATTTTTTTCTTGCATTTTGTGTACTTGGCATATTTTTTTCTATTGAACATAGATAAATCAGATTAATTTTAGTATTACTTAATTTCATGTAAATATATTGACTGGGAAGCTGAAAAAATGTTTAAATGGCTAATGTCAGTAGTGCTACAAACAAGAAATAGAAACATAGCACAAATTTATTAGCAATAACCCCATCATCTATCACAAATGATAATATTATTAATTTTTTATATTTTAATCCACAAGGACAAAATAATCCATGATTTTATTTTATTTTTTCAGTGACATAATTTAGACTGAAAAATGTCCAATGAATTTGATGGCTATATGAGGATTTGAACATTAATTTCCCCTACTTTAGACCAGCAGTCTAATTACTACAACATACTGTTTGTCATTGCACTGGGGATATTTCCATGTTTATATGCCTGTGTTACACACTGTGGTTACTAGCTTAATAGCTGTCTTTAATTTAAATCTTGCAGACACTTTACATAATTATTTTACTTTCCAAACCCATTTTGTTCTGAGCAAAAACATATGACACACTGCTCCTATTTCAGTTACATTTTCTCAGCTGAAACCCTTGGGGTAAGATTAGCAGTACAACCATGATTTCTTGTGACTAAGTTAAGCAAACAAGAATGCATTGATCAACGCTTTAACTTTTGGCTGATATTTGGTCCCTGTCCATACATTCTTTTCCATGCATACATGAAATTTCCAATGTATCTCCTGTGACTGCTAATATTTTTATTCAGAAGAGGATATAAATGTTCTTTTTGCTTTAAAGTGGCAAGTTCTGCTCAAAAGACACATCTCAATGTGTCAATGAGCATACAAAGTTGTTCTTGCTCTTATATTAACATAGAATGTTCCAGATGTACGGCTGGCACAAAGAAAATGTAATGTTTCAATACTGTAACAATTTAACTGCCTTCTTTCAGATACTTTCTGGTTTTTTTATTATATTTTGGGTCTATGCATTCATTAATCAGGGGAAAGTACAACTATTTCTCTTTCCCTGCTCCCAAAGCTTTTTATTTCATTTTTAACTACTTCAGATGGAACTTGTTTTTCCTTGACCATTGTCACAGAGACCTGAATTGCTTTTAGAAAGAAGCTAAGGGGCTTCCGGTGATGTCATTGGCTATGGCGGCAGGCTTGGAGATTGCTCCAAAGCCTTGCTGACAAATCAGGGGTCTGGCGGCATAGAGANTAACAAATGGAAGACAATGTTGTTTGGACCCTTTGTACACAAGAAAATCCTCATCTGGGAGCACCTAAGAGTATCTTTATTTTAATCCTAGGGCAACATAACCAAAGAATTCAACTATCAAGTAACCCATTAAATAGTTAAACATTTGATACACTCCAAAACTATCTGAATACTGTAACGTTTAAGTACATGCAATTAAATAGTTCCCCAAGAATATTCCCCATGTGAAATAAGATTGTTACATGGATTGTTCTGTGTTAAAAATGTTGTGCATGAAATTCTCCATATTTGTATAGGAAGTATTGTATGTCTATGAGCATTCTTGTATGCACATCAGCTCCTTTGTAGTGATATTTTTATTAGGAATAAAATCACATGGGTTTTATTGATTTTTTTTTCTCCCCCTTAAATATTGTTGACAGCCAAAGTTTAAAGAAATTTGGCATTTGGCAGTCATTAATCCCAGTCAAAACCTATATAAATATAAACAAGAGGAACATTTTTAAAGGAAATAAATATGCATTTATATATATAAAAAGTTTTGTTTTTAAAGAACACACCCAGGACAAGTATCTGTGAAGTATTGCCTTCATTTTCACCCAATTGTCATTCAGATTTACCATCCACAGTCAAAAACATAATATTGCAAGGATATCATTGCAGATATGGCTAGACAAGTCTGAGGTATTATCCTCGAATATGCTTACAAGATTTAAAGAAATAAAATGCTACGTGCCTATCCTTTCCTTATATTTTAAAAAAAACCTGTTTAATGCTGTTGACAGTCATTCCAGTCACAGTATTACATCCACTGTTTCTTTTGCCTTTTACGATATTCAGTCTATTAACATTTGAATGGCTTAAGGTTACATGGATTTTTTAAACTTTCTTTTTTCTTCCAAATGCATTTTATGTTTGAGCAGTCCATTATTACTTAGGGAAGAACCCCTCCTTCAAGAATAAGAGATATAAAATAAGTTTTTCATTCCTATTTTAAGGCAATTGAACTCTTTATGAGTCTTTTAATGGGCTTGAAATTTCACGTTTGTTGCAAATTGCCCCATTTTGTTGCAACAGTGCCTTTTAAGTCTCACAATTTTCCACACATTACCAGGATCTTTTAGTAATTTTTCTCAGTTTCTCCAGATGAGTCCTGAATGCTAGCATTTGGTAATTTAAACAGGAACAGGGCCATTCTTTGTATGCATTTCCAGAGATTTAATACTGCTAATAAGTTTTTTCTGTGGTCCAACAATTGTCACTCCAATTTTCTTCATGTCACTGAAAAATAATAGTAAAAAAGTTATCTAAGTTTTTTTTTTTAAATAAGAGGCAAGTGACACACTTTAACATGCACACACACTCACACATGCATATGTGCACGGACACGCACACAAACACACCTAATAGTAATTACCTTTCTCTGATTCTGCTAAATATTGAGTGGAAATTTAGAATGGGAGATGGAATGAATCCTATCCAATCTTCTAAAGATTAAATGTGTCCAATTCCATTTATACCAACAATGAAGAAGTGCTGTTTCTTTAGAACTTAGAAATGCATTTTGGGCATTTCTAAGTCCAAGGAAAACAGCCCTTCTTCTTTGTTGGTATAAATGGAATTGGGCATATCTAGCCTTTAGAAGACTGGATAGGATTGAAATATCTCAATGGATGTCATCTAGAAAAAGATTGAAACACACTTCTACAGTTTCAGAGCGCAGGATATGGGACAATGGATCTAGCTTATAAAAAATAATTCAGCAATGAAATCAATTACATAGAAATGTGATGAACTCTTCTGCAATAAAAAGGTTAAAAGAGATGCTGGAAAGCTAACTATGAGTGATGTGTTAAATTGGCTTCCTAAACTAATCAAGAGGTTTGACTTGGTAGGCAAAATAAACCTCTCCAATCCTAAATAGCTTAAAGAATTGTGCTGTAGTAACTGTAATATTTGTAAATAAATTTCAGATCTTGCATGACTTTACTGTAGTGATAAAAAAATATGAGACAAGAATGGCAGCTGCCCTGGATATCAGTGGCTATTGTGCATTCTGTTATTGTGTGGATTTTATAGCACAAGGTTTGCTTGTAATAACTATTACCATGTGGGTGTTTGTCTAAAGTGAATGAATTACTCAATTGATACTAGGATTCAGGTATGAAAATTCCTTAATCCTTATGATACCTATCTACCCTGTTAGAAATATGAGTGCTATTTGCATATTTGCAAGATATCAAAGTGAACAGAACAATATTGGAAAAAAGATATTGAAAATATCAAAAGTGTCATATTTAAAATACATTTCGAACCCCAGCACATGCAATTCATAACTTAAATGAAAAGTTTCATATTAGAATTTAATGGTATGGTATTCACAAAGGCGCCTGGAATCACATATATGCAACTCCAATGGTTATTAGCAGCTTGTAGATTTTTAAGACACTAACCAGACTCCCCACTTGATTTGAAGGTCTTGGGGAAGAGTAATTGGAGATGGAGAACCAATATAGATTTTACTAAAGTTTGATGGAAATGTTAGACTACACAGAGAATGTCTTTCAAGTCCTCCCACAGTGTTCTGTTTATTTTGGGACTTAAAGGATGACCTGGATTTTAGAAGATTATTTTTCACTGAGATTCCTTTCCATTTCCAAAATTAGACTTCAGCACTGAACGTCTATAAAATGTGGACTTCTCAGATACCTTTTACATTCTTAATTTGGGAAACTGAAAGAAAATTGAAAAAAAAAGTAATAATATATCTTTAATAAAACTCTTACTCTGAAGAAATATTGGCTATTGTATCACATGAACTGTATTCCACTCCTGTGAATATGTCTTTGCATTGCCCTATTCGAATACCATTGAGCCAATCACCTGTTGAGCGGAAGGGTGAGATTTCAATGCTACTTTGGTCCAGTAGGAGGTTTGATGGCCTAGAATAAAATGAAAGCAATAGTAAGACAAAAGAAATAAGCCAAGATTCATCTTCAAGCTAAATTTATTGTCAGTCAACACAGGTGATCTATCTGTATACATATACACAGATGCCAAAGCAGACAATATTTTGTTTTTTATTGTTTGGTGTTTTACAGGTTCAATCCAAAACATCAGGAATTTCATATTATTTTGAACAGACAAATTTCAGCTGGTCAAAATATTGCAATAACAGTTTTGTCACATTATACCAAATTACATCCTTGCTGTAGAAGCTATGCTTATTATCATTCGTGACCCGTCAAAAGCGCGGACGACAAAAGCGCGATCGACAAAATCGCACTGTGACGTCATCACAGCGCGACGAAAAAGATCGAAAAATTCAAATAAAAATTAATAAAAATTAAATTAAAGCAAGCCGATTCACATAAAGGTAAGGGTTAGGTTTAGGGTTAGGTTAGGGTTAGGTTAAGGGTTAGGGTTAGCTTTAGAGCGTTAGCGTTAGCGTTAGCGTTAGGTTAAGGGTTAGCGTTAGGTTTTTCGTTACTTTAACGGTTAGATTTAGGGTTAGGTTTAGGGTTAGGTTAAGAGTTAGGTTTAGGGTTAGGTTTAGGGTTAGGTTTGGGGGGCTTAGGGTAAGGTTTTCGCTTTATTTTTACATTTTTTGAACTTTTTCGTCGCGCTGTGATGACGTCACAGTGCGCCTTTGTCGAGCGCGATTTTGTCCTACGCGCTTTTGTGGTGGAACCATTATCATTTTGTTGCTATATGCAATTCAGGGTGTTGTTTATTTCCCATAAAGCCTTGTAAAGCTTAGGGCCGGGCCTGGTATCTTAGAATGCCCTGTCCTAATACTCACATAAGCCAAATATATAGAAAGCACCTGTTGAAACCCTATTAGGAGACAATTTGCAAAGATATTCTCTGAAAGGAAAGAATGTATAATTATTCTTCGGGCCTATACTTAGCTTTCCTATTCCTATTTCCTATTCAAAAATTATTTTGTTATGTTTACTTTTATTAAATTATTTTATGTAACTCTCATTGTCATTTGCATATTTAATACCTTCCTTAAAATGTATCAAATTTAAAATTTGAGAGAAATCTCTGAAACCTTCATCTAAAACTTTTGTAGGTTATGAGCAGATCTGTAGCTATATTTGTGCATTTCTAAATATCTGTGCTTTAGTGAGATTCCTTAAACATTTTAAATAATATTTGTGTTTTACAGATGACACAGCTTAGTTTTCTATCTCAATACTATAAGATTTCTTAAACAACAACAGCAAACCAGTGAAAGAAACTCAACATGAATTTATTTTCAGCCATAATGCTGCTAAAGGAAGACATAGGTCAATCTCTCTTTTCATTTTTGTAATCTTTTCCTTATATGATGCAGTCAACAAAATTGTTGACTCTAATATGAATTTCTGCCATTTCACCCAAGATATGTGGTACTGACACTACTGGGAGAAATGGTCCGTAAACATGACCACTAACAGCATGTTATAATGGAGGTAAAAGACAAGGTTATGCTTTCTACAGCCCACATGCAGCATTCATAAAGTGAGCCTTGCAGCTCTATTATGACACCTCTCAAACCTCAGCCTACCTGCCTCATTTCACCTAATAATAGGACTGACCCTATTCTAAATTCCATAATTTATCCCTCTGAGTGCCCCTTGTTTCTTCACACAGTTACAGAGCTATTAAAAAATACTGGATGGCACAGGAAAGATTTCATGTATTACATAATAATCCACATATTTCCTAATTCTCTTTCTCTCTTCTAAGGGGTGGAAATCCATTGGGGACTTTGCAGATTATTCTAAACAACAACATTATTATTATTATTATTATTATTATTATTATTATTATTATTATTATTATTATTATTATTGCATTAATAAAACTGTTTCAGGAGTACTATTAATAGCAAAATATATGAATTATATTATATCAATCACTGTGATAAAAACCTAGAATGTGCGCATTTATGTAAGCACCTATTAGCCACTTTCTTTAATATGAGTTGATGTTTGGAGTTTTATTTTGAATGGCTTGTGACTATTAAATTGTTGAGGCTAAAGAAAGCTTTGAGTAGATGTGCAATTTTTCAGGACCACATATTCACATAAGATTTCTGCCCGTTTTTCTAAATTTTCATTCAAAAATAAATAACAAAGACATTTCATATTAATCATATCAAAAGTGACTAGCTGGCTCCTATTTGTCTCATGAAAATGACACTTTTAATTTCCAATTTACCTGAGAAATGTCCAAGGTATATATAAAGCCTGGGAAGTTGTAATTAACCCATCCTGCTCCTTTTTTAATGTTTTATTTTTTAAAAATGCATTAATTTAAGAAGCTAAAAAAAGAATAAACCAGAGAAGGAACAAAAAATAAACAGGATAATAAAAATCTGGAGAAACTATTTTTTTATGTTTACTGATATTATGCACTTAAATATTAACTAATTTTAATTCAAATAATCACAACATTGTGTAGGATGTTGCAACATAGCCAAAAGGCTACTTTCTTCCTTGGAGAGGACATCTGGACAGTTTATCAATGAACAGGAATTTGTTTCTTGCTGTGAACAGTCTGTGATGTCTCCTCATGAGTACCAAGGGAATGCAAAGCTTTCAGAGCATCTGCATTTACTAGCTTCTAGCCCCCCTCCTCCCTTTGACCCAGCCCCTAGACAACAGGTCTAAACATGAAATTTATGGGCTGGGTTATATGCACCATAAGCTCACACTTTTATTAGACAAATTAGATAGACTGCAATGCATGCAGCTGTAAATGATGTCCTGCAGGGTTCCACCTGATCTTTCACAGCTTTTCATAAATCAGGTCCTACTAGCGTCAGACTGCAGACATTAAAAAGAAATCATGGAAATTACATTTTTGCTTACTAGAATTTTAGTATTTTAGCCAACATATTTCTCCAGCTCTAGCTTTGCCTTTCCTCTCTCCCACTTACTAGATTCTTAAATTGTTCTCCCTAGGGTGGTGCACACATATCAAGGTATTTTTTGTATAATTTCTATTGAACAGAACACTAAGCATAGCAGGCTGCATATGGTGTCTATAAATAAAAGGACAGCAGTCTACTCAACACTGACATTCCAGGGTATATGTTCAACCAACAGTCTCTTGCAATTGGCTTTTATGCACCAACCTGTTATGTTAACAGCTGGAATTAACCTTGTTCTTCTGCAGGAGAGCCCTGGTTTGCTGTCATTAAGATCGATGTTGCCACATTGCAAAGAATTTTCTGTCTTACAATATCATGTCTCGAAATAAACATATACATAGTAATGCTTTGCCTCCCACTGATATAAATCACTGTTCTGAGAGCATCAGCTGCTGGGTAAGAAAGAGATATCTCTATTTCTAACTGCTACCATCAAACCTTGCTTGTATTGCAGAGGCACCATTATGCTACTAATAAAACTTAATTTGATTTGATTTATTTGATTTGTTATGGCTGCCTATTCCAGAAGACTGGGCAGTTTACCAAATCCAGAAAAAACAGCAAAAACAATTTGAAAAGGTTGAAACCCACATATGTTGTCAGCTCAACTAGAACAATAAAGGGTATAAAAATAAAATAGAAGCCCAACTAAGCATAAGAATCTCATAAATCACAGTTCAAAGTCTGTGAACAAAGTCAAGTTAAGACTTTTGAAGAACTCTACGAGAGTGGCTGCTCTTCATATCTTCATATCTTCATAGGATTCTAATCCAGAGGACATAGGCTAGATAAGGTTCTAGAGGGGCTTCTGGATTTATTTTTATTATTAACAATTATTATTAACAATTTACTACACTCTCATTCTAGAAAGCAATTCTAGTCATATCTGCCTATGAAAATAATCCAAAATAGTATTGTCTCATCATTGTCTCTCATTAGGTACAACCAACAGAACACAAAAAATGTGCAAATTTTTGAATAGCGTAGACCTCTATTCAAAATCAAGCAGACATCATCCAAACTAGGAAAAGGTAAGAAGCCATCTTTTCTGTTACTTTGCAATTATACAGCTATACTTACCTGTACTCAAACCACTTGTCAGGCACACGAAAACAAAAGATGGGATAGAGTTCAAAAGTACTAAGTATTTATTTCATGCTACTTATACACAAGAATTGGATCTACTAATAGTTAAGGAAAGTTGGCATTATATAAGAGTAAATGGAATTCACTTGGGTCTAGATTTAGGTCTCCTCTGGGAGCATAAAGACTCCAAATTGATGATGTGGTTCACCCTGCTTTCAAGCTAAGGCTGGTCATTTCCTTCACCAGGCTAGTATTAAAACAAACTCCAGGACTAGAATTCTTAAAAAAAAAAAATACAAGTTTACTTTATTGTTTCTAGGCTTAAGGAAACCATTTTTTTCTTCCAATATTAATTGTGTTGCCAAATGCACTTACTGATGTATCTTATATTATCAGGAGTCATGAAAAGTAATGACATTGTAGTAAGGAAAAGTAAGGAAGCATTGAAAAATTGTATAAGAAGTACTATTTCTGGTTTTACAGCTATTTATACTTGCTTTCATATTGTTATTGAATAAACCATGTGATCTTAGTCATCATTAATTATGATTGGTGTCGCAGGGATATTACTGGGCTCAAAAAACATGGCAGCTATGACCCTGTGATCAAAGAATATGCAATTAATATAAAAAGAGACAAGATTTCCATTGTGTTGTGATTGACTTTTTTACTCCTGTGGGTACCCTTGTAACCTAGTTTCTTCTGTTACTGCTTTCTTGTATTCTCAATGATAATTGTACAGAAACATTTTTGAGCTAAGCTTCCATGCCAACTTGAAAGTCAAATAGCAAAGCCTTTTAGTGAAAGAACGTCATATTTGATTTATCAAATTCTGTTGCAAATACTGAACATCCTCAACTCTTTAATTGTCTATAATTGCTGGCAGATAATTTTGCTTGTGCTTTGGTTACATTATGATCACTGTACTGAATACCTAAGATTAGAGTTTGTAAAATTCTAATTACTCTTTAACAAATGAGTGGTGATAAAAATTTAAATAAATAAATAAATAAATAAAGCCAGTTGGGAGATGGATGAGCCTTTATATATTATTGAGTAGTTACTCAAGAATTGTAAAATTGAGTCAACATTTTAGTATAGACAGAAGAACCTATGTCAAATATTTGTCTCTCACAACATCTTAGCCCAACTGGATCACAAGAAAATGCTTCCCAGCATTTTTTCCACAACTAAGTAAAGGATCCATTTTTTCCAGATGACCAAGTGTTGATCCATTAATTGCCACAGGAACTAACCAACAGGTCATTGCCCAAATCTGACATCATGGGCTCAAAGAGAGTGACTGATCCAAAGTCGCCCAGCTGACTTTCAAGCCTATGGAGGAGTAAAACTCTTGGTTTCTAATCTGGTCTCCTCGTTTCTAATCCTGACCCTAATCCTAACCTTCCCCCTAATTTTGGACCCCTATAGATTTTTACCTCTTTTTCATGAATTGATTTTCAGAGTGGAGTTCAGTCTTATTCTATTACAATGGGATACACAAGATTATTTTTTAAATCTATGTAGTTCCCAATTAAATTATATCCATTTTAAAATCTGATCATTATTTTGCCATTACACTATCTTTGATACTGTTCTTGTCAATCCTCAAGTAGACCAGATATGAACACTAAAATTATGAATACTAAAATAATTTTCTTTATAGTGTTACAATTAACAGAATCTTGCAACTCTGACTATTGTCCCCATTCCCTGCCTTTATTCTAAAAACAATTAAGGATAGTAAAGTCTGAGATATTTTCTAAAATTCCATTCTTGCTTTGGATTCAGATTTGTTTTATCTGACCATTGTATCTTCCTCATATTCTTCAAAGTTACACTTAGAGCTCATAATTCTGATTAGTTTTTAAAGACAACTCCTTCTAATTAACAAATGGCAGATGGGCATACAAAAAAGATCCTTAATTATTACACTTTTTGGATTTATTATTTTGGAGTTGGATATATCTACACCTACATCTCTATCTCTCTCCTTCTGCTTCTGTCTGTCTGTCTGTCTGCCTGCCTGCCTGCCTACCTGCCTGCCTACCTATCTCTCTATCCATAAATATAAATCCTAGCAAATACAGGCAAATGCAGCTTTAAGCCCAATAATTTAACAAATGATTACAGCATAGGTCTCCTCATGAGAAAACATTTAGTGAAATGTAATGACCTTGTAATGAGAAAGCGACTTTTGTGAATCACTTAATGGTTGGCTTTATAAATACATAGTTTGAAATAGCTATCACTGAAAATGATATATTTATACATCAGACTTTAACCTTGTTGTCATTTCTACTGACTGTGTTGTGCTTCTGACTCTTAACCCTGGACCTCAACTTTGGATAATGGACACTATTAGATATTTCAACCTTCAAGTGAACTCTGTGTGTAAATATTGGCCTAGCTTGAGAATCTGCTTTATGTTGTCTTCAATATATAGTGACCTGTGTTTATGACATTATTAGGTGCTTTAACACTTAACCAACCCACCATGCTGAGATAGGACATAACAGATAGCCCTAGCTTCCATTATTTTATTTAATCCCCTTTTAAAGCCATACCACACAACTTTGACTAGACTGGAAGCTTTTGTTGATACAAGCTTCCTTTAGAAACCATGCTGTGAATTGGCTTGTTAAATACAATTAAAATTAACCATACTTTGTTGCCTTTTGACAATCTGCAGCTTACTCTAGCCAGCTTTGAGCTCCTTTAGGCAGCCATTAAAGTAAATTTCTCTTCCCCTTATAGTGAAAAGATGCTTCAGGATTTTATTTCCTCTGGTTTTTGTTTGTTTTATTAGCAAATTTGATTTAGCCATTTAAATCTATAGGGATAACTAATTAATTGCTCTTTAGGTTTTGCACAATTTTCTTGTTCTTAATTTTTATTCTAATTTTAACTTTTTAAGAAAATGGTTTTTGGGGAGGAGGTAAGGAAACTATGCTTTGAATTGAAATACTTAACAGTAATTTTCAGAGCTGGAAGATAAAAAAAGAGAAGTGCATAGAAATGAGATTTTTCTATGAATGGATTTTATGATCTCTTTCAATATTGCATTCTTGGATGAGAAATGAAAGGTTGGATCTAGGTTAATTATGATTCATACATCATACTGGGCAAACCATATAGCTGCAAATGCCTTGGGCTATTACTAATATTGCTAATTTTGAGCTACGAAATGTTAATCATCTGGAGTAATCTTGCAATTAGTTTTCTGTGCTGCATCTTTCTTTTCAGAATATACAATTTAGGCGTCCCCTACTAATTTTATGCAGATATTCTTATCCACAAATCTCTTTTGTTTGGCTTAAAATATAACTGCAACTTTGTGTACTATATACAGAAGAGTCATGTCTTGTGGTTTGAATTTTTCTGGTCTGCATAGTTAATCAACAGTAAAGTGCTCTTTCATCATGCTAATCTTCACATACACTCAATAGTATTTGCTGAAAGAGAACACTGCAGAGATATTTCCACCTCTCCCTCATAAAAAGGAGACTGGATCACCTGCCAGAAATGCTTCATAAGCTGAATCTTGCTACAGCTAATAAGCACAGTAGCTTACTAACTATGTCACATAAGGTCATGTCTAAAGCCATTCTTATCTTGGACCCATCTTACCTCAGAGAATAATTTATATAACATTTCTTTCCTTGCACACTGTGGTAATCATAGGATTAGAAGAGACCTTGTAAATTACTCTACAACATTAACCTTTTTGAATTAGTTATTGACAAATTTGCAATAAACATTTATTGATACTTGTGAAGTTTAGGATTAGGAGTGGATAAGGATATCTAATGTACAGATTGTATACCCACCTCAAAAGAATGCAAGTTGTTAAAATTAATATATAGGCTTTTTGTATTTTATTATTGGTGTTCTATAATCAGTCTTAATATTTACTATTATAAAGCAATGCACCAGGATCTAGAAAGAATATAAAGTTTTAAATAGAAAGCAATAATGGAAGAGTAGAAAACGAACTTGCTTTGAATAAAACCCCAAAATTTTACATGTAAAACTGAAGATATTTAGAACTATTTAAAAAATCAAATAAATTATGGTTATTTATTCTAATAATAGAGTAATAACTAAAAAGTAACAAAACTTTAGAGATTGTTCTGTGGTTTTTCACTGCACTCAAAACTAAAAAGGTTAGGTATATTGAGAGGAAAAATATCCAACATTGATGCTGAAAACCAAACCAATTGGTACAGTTAGAAAGATGCTGCATATGGAATTATTGGAGGAAAGTAGTTCAAAAGTATTTTCAAAGTAGCAAAGGAATTGTGCAAAATTATTCTGATATGCAAACAGTTGATGTGGAATTCTCTGCACTGCAAGATCTGTCATCACTGTTTATTGTTCTTCAAATACATACGGTAAATACATTTTTCTTTTTCAGAAGGATTTGGCCTCGGCAGTGAATTGTGAATTGTGTTTTATTTTAGATATCAACAAGAATACACATGTTGCTTAAATTCTCGACATATCTAGGCTATTCAGGTCCTGAAATTTAATAGCATTTAATTTAAATGCTATTAAAATTTATAGCATTTATGATATACTTTCAAGTTATATGCTGAGAAATAGAAAATGTACTCCCAGACACACACAATAGTCTTGAAATAAGAGATAATCAGGATCAATTCTTCTGATGTTATGTCAATACTCATTCAACATGACCACTCAGTTGCAAAGTCTTGTTTTGATATTACTTATATTTTTAAATCAAGCCTAAAGAATGCCCTGGAATACACTACTGAATTGGGATATTCTGTCTCCCTAACTAATATTTCACAGCAAACATTTCTTTTGCCACATATACAAATTATAGCAAAATTATAAATGTATAGTTTTTGTCACCTTGCAGCTGCATTGGTAATGATTTTTAAACTGCTGGGATTACGGATCAGCTTGTCCAAGATGCTGACAATCTGCTCAAACTTTGGTCTGTTGTTTCTGTCTTTTTGCCAACAGTCCAGCATCATCTGATACAAGGCAGCTGGGCAGTCCATGGGTGGTGGCAAACGGTATCCTTCCTCCACTGCTTTAATTACCTGCGCACAAGGAAGACAGTTTGTAGAACCTGAAGGACATTTAGTTCACTTCTCCTTCCTCGGTTCTGAAAATGATATGCATTACATAATCCAATGTGGAGGCTTAGTAATTAAACAGATGTATTTTATTCCTAACTATTGTGAATCATGCCTATTCTTTTTCATCTCCAAAATAAGCCACTTGACAATAAGAGATACAAAACATGACGGAAAAAGGAGAGGATAATTACATATCTTTGAAGAAAGTGACACTCAATCTTGTCCAATGTTTAAATTTGATTAGACCAAATACAACTCAATTTAATACATTTCCTACAGTGCTAGCTTAATTACTCCGAAGAGAAAACATCTGCATCACTGCTGTACATTCATCCCCACCTCCTTCAATGGTCTTATAGGAATTGTTATTTGAGATCATATGAACTTAGAAAATTGCTAGATATCAGTCCATAGTTTAGCATTATTTACAATGACTAGCAACAGATCTCTTGGGCTTCAAATGGGGGACAGTTTTCTATCTTTAACCGGATTAGCCAATGACTGAAACAGAACATACCAAAAACACATTAATCCTGTTTCTAATATTTAAATATTTCAGAATCTTAATTTATCAAAAACTCTTGCCTTGGATACAATCCAATAATACATACATAGAAACTCCATATGCAGGAAGAATCCTATATAATTCAATATAATCTTATATAAGCTACTTTTATTAATATAGAAATATGGAAATGTAAACCATTAATGTAAATTACATTTCTGGTTCATACAAAAAGACAAGTCTGGAGCTATTAAATATTCATTATTGGCTAATACCTTAGCATTACATATATATGTATGAATGCATGCAGGCATGCATGTATGTGTGTATTTTGTGATATTTCAGAATTTCATGTATATATTCCATAAGAAGAGGTAATATTTGTTAAATCCCATAAATATTATTAAGCTAAATCTTGAAATATTGTGAACTATATGGTTAATAAAATTGCTAGAATTTTCATAACTACCATTTCTATGATGCTTTGATTTGAGAATTGCAGTGCTTTGATTTATTGGCTTCAAATCAATCAAACTTATTCAGAAAATGACGCAAAAGCAGCAGAAAGCTTTAAATACATCATGTGTCTATCTATTTCCTAACTTTTTATAAATGGATTAATTTTTAAATTAATTATTTCTAAATAATACAGCTCAGATTTATAATTTAATTATTGTACATATTCAATTATGCAACAAAATGATATGTTGACATTAAGCTGCATACATACAAGGTTACACATACATTTATGACTATATTAAAAATATCAGCAGCTGCTAAGAGGTTTTCAGAGCCAAACACAGTCGTAATTAGAAACCAATTTAATTAGGTTTCGTATGTGTGTTCAAGCTTTATTTTAAAGTTAGTTATTACTGGTGTTAACAGTCATACAGTTGTTATATGATAGCTAATACTGAACAATTGTAAGGTGCTATTGATAAGAGCAAACATTAGAACATTCAACTCTCAGAATGTTAGTTAAGTTGGGAAATGTTGTACACTCAGTGAATAAACAAAATATAAAGCCAATTCACAAAATAGTAAATATGCTTGGTACATGAGAATTAAAAAAAAATTATGACAGAATTTATAAACTAAGTGTGTATATATACATATATATATATATATATATATATATATATA